CCAACCAGAGGGAGTCGAGTGCCACAGAAAGGCATAAAAATCACCAGTAATTTTGCATTTATTTTACCTTGTGCCTTGATACAGAGTACTCAACAAATGCTCTTTGAATCATATTTAATAAATATGTGTATTTGGGATTGTATCATATTGCAGCTACCTGGATATATAATTTAATTAGAAATATAAAAATTTGTGTGGCTCAATCAACAAATGACTTTTCTCTTTCTCTCCCTTTCTCTTTCTTCCCCTCTCTCTCTTTCTTCTCAGTTGATGTTGCTGGAGTTCAGTGTTGTGCAGATGGCAGTGACAAAGGCCATGGGCACATGAGATATGATAAAAGGTCCCTGAAGAAGGTGGAGAACCAGACATCTTATGAAATTTTCCAGAGTGGGTACTGGATCTTTCCTGTCTAGCACCGTGCTGGCCTCAGCCCATGGGGACTTTCCTTCCAGAGACAGAAGACAGTGACTGAGGTGGGGAGACAGATCGTAACACTGAGACTTACGTGGGGACATCAAACAGAAAAAAGGTGGAAAAAACAGAAAATTCTTTCTTCTGGACAGCCTTCTCTGTTCTAACTTTAACAAAATTCTCCCCCCAGCGGATGCCAGTGCACAACCCTATACGTGCTATGTTTTTTCCTATACATACCTACCTATGATAAAATGTATTAATTAGTCGCAGTAAGAGAGTAGCAACAATAACTAGTAATAAAATAGAAGAATTCAGTAAAATAAGAGTTACTTGAGTACAAACACTAGGATATCATGACAGTCAATCTGATGACCAAGAGGGCTACTAAGCATCTAAATAGGAGGGTAAGTGTGGACAGCATGGAGATGCTGGACAAAGGGATGATTCAGTCCCAGGCTGGTATGGAGCGGAAGGGCATGAGATTTCATCACACTACCAAGGCACACAATTTAAAATGGGTAAATTCTTATTTCTAGAAATTTCTATCTAATATTTTCAGACTACAGTTGCCTACAGGTAACTGAAACCCCAGAAAGTAAAACTGTGGATAAGGATGTACTACTGTACATCCTCCTTTGAACCAGCCTTATCATTTGCTAGTATATACATATATACCTACATACATACATACATATACACATACATGCACACACCTGTATGTGTATGTACACACACACACACATGCATATCTACTAATGTTGGAATAACTTTGCTAAATAAGATGCACAACTTGTTAATGTCCTACAGAGCAATAAAACCATAAGCATTGGGGTTATCTTTTCTACTAGATAAAAATCCACTATCATTTTCATAAACTTTTCTTTACATTAACATCTAACTTTTTGCAATCTAGTTTTTAATCAATCATAAATAGAAAGCAAATGAACTATTTCTCTAGTGAATCAAATGTCCTCAAAAAGACACAAAAGTCATCTTTTTGCTTTATTTTTATTTTTACACAAATTATTTAAAGTTTTAAATAACTTAACATTCACGGTAGTTTGTGACTGTATATTTTGACTTCATCCTTCAAACTTATTTTGTACTTTGATGTATCATGCTTGCCTCAATTTTTTATTCACTTCTGAATTTTGCTGGATTGGTTTATTATTTTTGTCTATTTCTTTTCCTTCTAGTGGTTTGGGAGGGTTTCTTTATCCCATTACTATTGAATGCCTGTTAACTTGGCCCCTTTTTCTTTCAATCTCTATTCCCATGGCCTGAAGCATGAGGGTCAAGCTGTCTGTAACCAGCAGAGAGACGACCCAGGTGTTATTCCACCACCACTGCCCAACTATACCATTCCCAGCCCCTCATAGCTCTGAAGTATGGCTTTTCTGTGGCTCTGTGGGGAAAACTAGAACTGGCTGCTTCAAGGACTCCGCCTGCTTTTGCAATGGAAAAAAGTTCTAGATTCCAGTTTCTCTATGAATTCAATGACATGGTTTAAATATCTGTGGTATTCTTCAAAGTTTTTTCTTCTAATAGAACCTCTCATGATTCTCCAACCATGAGATAAATTCATTATCATTTTTATATTTCTTTTGTCATTGCAAAGAAGGTTTTGAAAGAGTGGAGGACATGCTAACGAACTCAAAAATCCACACTATTTCTTGTTTCCATCTGTTGCTCATTTGTTATTTCCGTTGGCCTGTCCACCTCCTATGCTCCCTCTTAGACTTGGAACTCTAGCCTCCGCCAGTGTAGGGAAAAGAAAGAGAGATCAGACTGTTACTGTGTCTATGTAGAAAAGGAAGACACAAGAAACTCCATTTTGATCTGTAGGCTGAACAATTGTTTTGCCTTGAGATGCTGTTAATCTGTAACTTTAGCCCCAACCTTGTGCTCACAGAAACATGTGTTGTATAGAATCAAGGTTTAAGGGATCTAGGGCTGTGCGGGATGTGCCTTGTTAACAATATGTTTACAGGCAGTACGCTTGGTAAAAGTCTTTGCCATTCTCCATTCTCAATTAATCAGGGGCACAATGCACTGTGGAGAGCCGCAGGGACCTCTGCCCAGGAAAGCCGGGTATTGTCCAAGGTTTCTCCCCACTGAGACAGCCTGAGATATGGCCTCGTGGGATAGGCAAGACCTGACCGTCCCCCAGCCTGACACCCGTGAAGGGTCTGTGCTGAGGAGGATTAGTAAAAGAGGAAGGCCTCTTGTGGTTGAGATAAGAGGAAGGCCTCTGTCTCCTACATGCACCTGGGAACGGAATGTCTCGGTGTAAAACCCAATTGTACATGCGTTCTATTCTGAGATAGGAGAAAACCACTCTGTGGCTGGAGGCGAGATATGCTGGCAGCAATGCTGCTCTGTTATTCTTTACTACACGGAGATGTTTGAGTGAGAGAAGCATAAATCTGGTCTACGTGCACATCCAGGCCTAGTACCTTCCCTTGAACTTATTTGTGACACAGATTCCTTTGCTCACGTGTTTTCTTGCTGACCTTCTCCCTACTATCACCCTGTTCTCCTGCCACTTTCCTCTTGCTGAGACAGTGAAAATAGTAATCAATAAATACTAAGGGAACTCAGAGACTGGTGCCGGTTTGGGTCCTCCGTATGCTGAGCACCAGTCCCCGGGGCCCACTGCTCTTTCTCTATGCTTTGTCTGTGTCTTAAGTCTTTTCTCAGTCTCTCATCCCACCAGATGAGAAATACCCACAGGTGTGGAGGGGCTGGTCGCCCCTTCAAACCAGGATTATCAGGGCATTTGGGTGTCTAAAAAACCAAGCCCAAACTCATCAGTTTCACAACTGCATCCAGAGCCAGCCTGACCATAATAGTTGCCCATGATGAGTTTCTATGCCTTAATATGAGAAGAGAACATAGGGGCTTGGTGCCAAGTAGGTAGACAGGGAGGGCAGGGAACTCTGAGACAGAGCTTGAGGGGCTCATTCCTCTTGCAAAATGAAACAAAAACCACAGCACTGAATATGTAAATCTCGGTGGCTGAACCCCTCCTAGGATAATAAGCCCTGGCACAATTGCTTCTATCTTCTCTTTCCCTCAAGGAAGTCAAAAAAACACCTGCAGCCCTACTGTCCCCTTGGAAACAAGATGAACATCTACATTTTCTAGAGTGAGACCAGAATCTCTGTTCATATTTATGTCCCATGCATTTGCACATGGCCGGTCAAAGGAACTTTGCTTCTGCCAGCACATCTATCTTCAGATATGAGAGGGAACAGACACAACCTGGAAGCAGCAACGAAGCAGCTCTTTCTCAAATAACCTCCTCTATCTCCATCCTTCCTGGCTAATGGGGCAGCCTTGATCCTTGGGAATCCAGGACAGATATCCGCTGGTGACAAACTAGCTGGAAGAATGACAACCAATCAGGTTCTAAGCACCACTGGATGTGAACCACAGAATTCCCCCCTCTCCTTGTGGAATATCAGCTTATGTCTGACAAAAAATATGAAAATGAGAGAGTTACAATCTTAAGGAGGAGTCAAGCTAAAGCAAAAAGAATCACCTCCTCTGGATTTCAGCGTGACTGCTGAGCTCAAATATATACAAAAAGAGAAAGAACCACAAACTTGAAGATGGATATCGGCTAAAGACTTTCCTGAGTCAGGTAGGGAAACTGCCATCCCTCAAACCTTGCAAAAGACAAACTTATGCCTTGTGTCCCCTGATGTACTGGATGATGTACTGTATGTTACTGTTGTGAGGGGAACTTCCTAAATTAGCTAGTAAATTATGCCAAATAAAAAGCAAAAATGATAATTCTTGAAATGTTAACACCTGAGGAACATTGCTAAAATAATTTATCAGTAGTTTTCAGGATGATTTGTAGATGTGCATTGAAGTGTGTGCTTGTGCTCTCTCTCTCCTCTCTCTCTCTCTTTCTCTCCTTGCATCCTTCCCTCCCTGCCTTTCCTTCCTCTCCCCTCCAAAGCAGTTTATATTTTTTTCTGATAATCTAACTTTGCTGAGGGTTCAATGTAACGCAGTTTCAGTGATGAGTTAGTTGGAATGTTCCCCAAGAAATTCTATTTCCAGTGCTCTTATACATGAAATCCAAGAACCTCTCAGACTATCTTACTGACACCTTGCCTTTCTTAAACAAATCAATCTTATCGATGTCCATCATAGATATTTTGTAGAATGGTAGATCCTGGCAGAGTCTCACAGATGCTTCTGAGACATCATTTGCTTTCAAAACATGAACCACACACATCCTAAGGATCTCAGCCACTTTTCATGATTCATTTTATGTTACAGCAAACATCACAACAATCATTCCTATAGATCACCACTGTATGTGATCAATAAAATAGTTTTGCCACAATGATACTTATGCTAATCATCTTTTATTGGTTACAAAGCCTGCTTTACAATAGTTATTCGGTTGTACTGTTCATGTTAGATTTCCAATTAGTTCACTTACGAACATGAGTCCCTCGAACAGCTCGGTCATCTTTTCCATTCCCATTTCTATCCCCTACACCTCTTTCATTTGCAGAAAACTATCTCCTACACTGAAACAGGAAAGCTTTTACCTTTTTGGCATGCTTGATTTAAAGGTTATAGAAAAGTATTTGACAAAGAAAACTCATGCATGTGTGTACATATCATTTAAAAATTTATGTTTATGCATTGCACAGGAATATTGAGAATGCTACTAGGCAATGTCAGAGTTTACCTTTTTTTCAAAATTAGTACAGTTTTATTATTTCTAAAAACTGTAAAATGAATGTATTCACACAACCATACAGAAGAGTAGGAAGAGAAAGTGTCATTGTTCCTCCTCTGCAATCCCAGGAGATAACTACCAAGCACAATTTATGTGTCCTTTAAAAATCAGCCCATATTTATATACATATATAATCAATTTAGATGGGATCATGATATCTCACCACACATACTCTTCAGTGATCTGCATTTTCACAAACACCTTCCACATAACTATATAGAAGCCTACGTCTTCCTCTTATTGTCTGGCTTTGTGCTACATTGTAAAGCTCTAATAGGAGTTTAATTAAACACCTATTAATGAGGATTTCAGTTATTTTTCACTTTTTAAACAATATTTCCATGCGTAGTCTTATATATAAGTCTAGACACGCTTATCCCAGTCTAAGGAGCTCCTTTTACCTTTCCCAATCCCAGCACTCCCTGTCATGCTTGCTGCTTCCGTTGGGTGACTTTACTCCTGGAGTATAATCTGCGTATAGTTCAGTTAAGTACATGGGTTCTGAGTTTAGGTCACAGCTCTGCCACTTACTGCCATATGCCAGTTCCTTGACCTCTCTGCCCTCCAGTTTTTGCACCTACAAAATAGGGGTAGTTCATAGAGTCTTGGGAATAATTAAATGTGATGATCCATGTACCATGTCTGGCACTTAAGTAAGTGCTCAATAAATGTCACCCTTTATAATTGGTATTGCTTGTATGTCTGCAGAGAATATCATTTTACGTCCCCTTTAAAAAAGGACTGTGCCCTTGGTCAGCTATTTTGCACGTTTAAATTTCACTTGCCAATGTTAACTCTCCACCTCTATCCTGATCCCTCTCATTCCTCATCTTCTGGTGAGACCAACTGCTGATTCGGCTATTCAAGGCAACTAGCAAAGCTGCCAGTGACAGAATCAAATAAATCTACCCTTAATCTTTAGAATTATAGTTATGATTTGTGTTGTAAAAGTTACTATTGTGGTAGTCAGTATTAGTCTCTGCTCTATGATAGCATCTCTGATCTATTATTGATTTTCAATTGTGCATTTTTTTTTAATTTATTCTGAAAATGTTTGTTAATCATTTACTAAGTAAAGATACTGGACTGGGACTGAGCCTCCCAAATACAGGACAAATAAAACATCAAACAATTTATAATTTAGAAGGGTAGAAGAGAATCTGAAAGCAGATAAAAATAAGGAGGCACTCGGCCAGGCGCGGTGGCTCACACCTGTAATCCCAGCACTTTGGGAGGCTGAGATGGGTGGATCACGAGGTCAGGAGATCGAGACCATTCTGGCTAACGCGGTGAAACCCCGTCTCTACTAAAAAGATACAAAAAAATCAGCCGGGCATGGTGGCGGGCAAGGTGGCAGGCGCCTGTAGTCCCAGCTACTGGGGAGGCTGAGACAGGAGAATGTCGTGAACCCCGGGAGGCGGAGCTTGCAGTGAACCGAGATCGTGCCACTGCACTCCAGCCTGGGTGAGAGAGCGAGACTCCGTCTCAAAAAATAAAAAATAAAAAATAAGTAGGCACTCTAGGCCCAGTGACCTGTCTCTGTACTCTGTAAATTCAGGTCACCTGCTCAGGGATAATCTGAGAGAAGGTCTCTCTTCAGTTGAATCTTGAAAGACAATTAGCAGTTCACAAGCTAATCCAAGTGGACAAAGGTGTTCCCAAGCAGAGGGAGTGCAAAAGCTGGAGGCCATAGAAAAATTGTAAGGAGTGTCGGGAGGTGGGAGTAATGTATGGAAGGGGTGGAGATGGAAGGTTAAGAGAGATACAAGACTGCAAAAATGGAGCTGGACTCAAAAGAAAACACTGCAGAGGTCTTCAATGTTGTTGATGAGATTACTGTGGAAACACTATGGAACACTGGGACTCCACGACAGCTCCAAAGATAGCATGCACCTGGTCCAGCTCAGTAAGAGCTGAACTCTACCGGTGCTGTGACAACAGACACACCAACCAAGTAAAGTCTACTTTTCTACTCTGTTAATCTTCACTTTGGTTTCATATACCATCCATAACTACATTTCAAAATGCACTTCAAAGTTATGAGCCTTAATTTGATATACATTTAGTCTACCTTTTTAAAAATAACATTGCAGCAAAGGAGAAGTTAAAATAGTAAGACAACCTGTCATTATTACTCACTGAGAAGCTGATGATTTCCATAATTACACTAAATGAAGTTTATCCTTTGCAAAAGCCCCCCAGCCCACCCCAAAAGAAAGTACAAAAAAAAACTGACCATTTTTTTCATTGCTTGTTTTTCTTTGTAATTTACGTTCAGTCTACTTTCTAAAAAATAAATAAATAATAAGCAGTCCAGATGTGGCAAGTTGCTAAAGAAAGGAACCATCAGGCCACAGAAATAAATACATTCTCTTCTTGGATTTTAGATCTCACCTAAGAAAATAAACATATGCTATGTCAGAGAAGCCTCAGGGCTTCCACATCTGCTCGAAAAGGGAGTTGAGCTTCAGCAGCTGACCCAGGGCTCTGTTCCCCTTTGGTGAGAAGGGTTTTTGTACAGCAAGACAATGGAGAGCTCTCACTGTGGTGGACGTTCGGCCAAGGGACCAAGCTGGAAATCAAACGTGAGTAGAAATTAAACTTTGCTTTCTCGTTGTCTGTGTCTTCTGTTCCCCATGTCTATGAAGTGATCTATAAGCTGACTCTGCAATCAGACTCTGACATCCTTCAGGGAAAACATAAAGATAAGTCTGTAGTCAAACTCGAGAATTGAGTGTACATTTTCTTTGAAGAGCAAGCAAGATTCATTCATTGGGTAAGAATAACTTGCCTAAGCAATAGCTTCAGAAATGTCCTGGGGAACATAACATGTTCTGGACAGAGCCTTGGTCAATTGTCAGAAAGGGAGTTTTTGTATAGGAGGGAGGTTAAGAGGAACCATTGTGTGTACAGTTTTGGCCAGGGGACCAAAGTGGAGATCAAACGTAAGTACTTTTTTCCACTGATTCTTCACTATTTCTGTCTAATTAGTTTACTTTGTGTTCCTTTGTGTGGATTTTCATTAGTTGGATGTCAGGGAACTAACAAACTTCATTCCCAGGTTAGGTACAGTGGAGGGGAAATTGTTCCACAGCAGGCTAGCTTGTGGCTAGCTTTAAAGATTTCTAAATCAAAATAACTTCAGTGGGGGAAGGAGGTTTGCTGACCTTTCAGGAAGGTTTTTGTAAAGGGAGAAGTTAAGACGAATCACTGTGATTCACTTTCGGCCCCGGGACCAAACTGGATATCAAACGTAAGTACATCTGTCTCAATGATTCGTGAGATTTTGGTGTCACTGTATCATTTGTGCAAGTTTTGTGATATTTTGGTTAAATAAACCTGGTGACCCAGAAGTAAACAGCGGGACACCAGAAAATCAACTTAAAAAGCTGAGCAAATAGAAAAATCCTTGGGTTTGGGAGGAGAATAGGATTCATGGGGGAAATGGGAAAGAAATAGCTAGATTTTTCTCTGAACAAGCAGCCTATCTCATATGATTGGCTTTGAGGGAGGTTTTTGTTGAGGGAAAGGGTAAGATCCCTCACTGTGGCTCACTTTCGGCGGAGGGACCAAGGTGGAGATCAAACGTAAGTGCAAATTTTTGTAATGTTTTTTCTTATAAGGTTGTAAATTTGGGGAATTTTTATGTTTAAGATATTAGCAGGTCAATTCCAAAGAGTACCAGATTCTTTCAAAAAGTTAGATGAATAAGGGACTGAAAATTAGTTCATCTTAAGGGATACCCAAGCGCTAGCTGGTTAAGTGAGGCATCTAAATTGCAAGATTTTCTCTGCATCAGTCAGGCTAGTGATATTAACAGCGAAAACAGATTTTTGTTAAGGGGAAAGTAAGTTAATACTGTGAATCACCTTTGGCCAAGGGACACGACTGGAGATTAAACGTAAGTAATTTTTCACTATTGCCTTCTGAAATTTGGGTCTGATTGCCAGTATTGACTTTTAGAGGCTTAAATAGGAGTTTTGTAAAGATGGGTAAATTAGGGCATTTAAGATTTATCATGGGTTACAAAAGTTAAACTCAGCTTCAAAAATGGATTTGGAGACAAAAAAATTAAATTGTTCTAAACTGAATGACACAAAGTTAAAAAAAAAAAAAAAGTGTAACTAAAAAGGAATCCTTGTATTTCTAAGGAGCAAAAGTAAATTTATTTTTGTTCACTCTTGCCAAATATTGTATTGGCTGTTGCTGATTATGCATGATACAGAGAAGTGGAAAAATATATTTTTTAGTCTTTCTCCCTTTTGTTTGATAAATTATCTTTTCAGACAACTATAAAAATCAATAGCATGCCCTAAAAAAATCAGGAAAAAGTGACGTGTACCTATTTGCCATGTAGAAGAGGCGGCTTACTTAAAAATCCGCAGCAATGTTGTTTTCAGAGTCTATAATAAGCAATAAACTCAAAAAGACACATTCTGTAGGAATAAGGGCTTCACAGATAGAGATCATTTTTTAAAAATCCAATTTGTCCATTAGACTAAACATGAAATTATCTCTTACTGCAATGGTGGAAAGGTGGTTATCCCAAAAGCTCAATCTCAAAGAAATGTGTTTAAATGAAAAAAAGTAAATAATTGCAATTTTTAATGACCATGAGTCTATGAAAAAATAGGAAATATTTTAAAGAGTATGTTCTTTTATTGCCCTCTGTTATTACTTGTCTATATTTTTATTCTGCCAAGAAGTCCGTGGCACCGCAAGCTGTAGACAGAGCCGCGGTCTTTCTTGATTGAGCGGCTTTGGTGGCCATGCCGCCACCCTCTTGGGGCAGCTGCCTTGCCGCTAGCGGCCATGGCCACCCCGCGTCTGCCCGATTAATGCTGCCGTAGCCAGATTTCCTGATGCACAGTGATACAAATAATGCCATTAACGGAAAGAGAACAGAAACGTAACGGGCGCTGAGCTGGGAAAACCAGGGAGAAGACTGATTTATTAGCGATTTCAGAAATAAAATTCACATTCATTACGATATCTCATTAGTGAAAATTTCCATTGGGGATTGTAAAGAATTTAAAGCTTTTTTTTTTTTTTTTCAGTGCTATTTAATTATTTCAATATCCTCTCATCAAATGTATTTAAATAACAATAGCTCAATCAAAAAGAAAGAAATATGTAATTCTTTCAGAGGAAAAATCACACCCGTAAACTGGCCACTGAGGGCTTGATCAATTCACTTTGAATTTGGCATTAAATACCATTAAGGAATATTAACTGATTTAAAAATAAGATATATTCGTGACCATGTTTCTAATTTTCAAAAATGTAGCTGCCGGTGTGTGATTATATTTCAGTTGTACAAAATATCTAAACCTATAGCATTGTGATTAATAAAACCTTAAGCATATTTTCCAGTACCTTAATTCTGTGATCGGAAAATTTTAATCTGAGTACTTTAATTTCATAACCTCTAAAATAGTTTAATGATTTGTCATTGTGTTGCTGTTGTTTACCTCAGTTGACTTCAAAAGTGATATTTAAGGAGGATTATTTTGGTCTGCAGCAACTTGATAGGACTATTTTAGGGCCTTTTTAAAGCTCTATTAAAACTAACTTACAACGATTCAGAACAATCTAACTGTTTTAAACTATTTCAAGATGATTTTAGAGCCTTTTGAAAACTCTTTTAAACACTTTTTAAACTCTATTAAAAGCTAATAAGATATCTTGAAATAATTTTCATATCAAATACATTAATGGTTTGATGTTTAAATGTCAGATGAAAAAGGTAAAGCTCTCAAGAATTCACCTAGATAGGAGTATCTTCATAGCATGTTTTCCCCTGCTTATTTTCCAGTGATCACATTATTTTGCTACCATGGTTATTTTATACAATTATCTGAAAAAAAATTAGTCATGAAGGTTAAAAGAGAAGAAAATATTAAACATAAAAGGTTCAGTCTTTCATGTTGAACTACTTGGTTAACAGCGAATTTAGCTTAAAAAAAAAAAAAAAAAAAAAAAAATCCTATTCCTGTTATCTGTTGACTTCTCCCGGCAAAGGATTCTTGTTTTTCATTTTAACTACTGCTCTCCCACCTGACGGCTGGAAATCCCCAGAGGGGGATTTCCAAGAGGCCACCTGGCAGTTGCTGAGGGTCAGAAGTGAAGCTAGCCACTTCCTCTTAAGCAGGTGGCCAAGATTACAGTTGACCTCTCCTGGTATGACAGAAAATTGCCGCATATGGTTACAGGCCTCGAGGCCTTTGGGAGGGCTTAGAGAGTTGCTGGAACAGTCAGAAGGTGGAGGGGCTGACACCACCCAGGCACAGAGGCCGGGCTCAGGACCCACTCTGCAGGGAGGTTTTAGCCCAGCCCAGCCAAAGTAACCCCCAGGAGCCTGCTGCATAGTCCTGGAAGAGGCACAGCGGAAATAAAAGCAGACAGAGGCTTTTCTTGACTCAGCCGCCGCCTGGTCTTCTTCAGACCTGTTCTGAGTTCGAAACTCTGAGGGGGTCAGATGACGTGGCCTCTTTGCCTAAAGCATTGAGTTTACTGCAAGGTCAGAAAAGCATGCAAAGGCCTCAGAACGGCTGCAAAGAGCTCCAACAAAACAATTTAGAACTTTATTAAGGAATAGGGGGAAGCTAGGAAGAAACTCAAACATCAAGTTTTTGAATACATTTCTTGGCCTCCTTGCTATAATTATCCAGGATAAGCATGCTGTTTTCTGTCTGTCCCTAACATGCCCTGTGATTATCCACAAGTAACACACCCAAGTGCAGAACTTTGTTACTTAAACACCATCCTGTTTGCTTCTTTCCTCAGGAGCTGTGGCTGCACCATCTGTCTTCATCTTCCCGCCATCTGAGGATCAGGTGAAATCTGGAACTGTCTCTGTTGTGTGCCTGCTGAATAACTTCTATCCCAGAGAGGCCAGCGTAAAGTGGAAGGTGGATGGTGCCGTCCAAACGGGTAACTCCCAGGAGAGTGTCACAGAGCAGGACAGCAAGGACAACACCTACAGCCTGAGCAGCACCCTGACGCTGAGCAGCACAGACTACCAGAGTCACAAGGTCTATGCCTGCGAAGTCACCCATCAGGGCCTGAGCTCGCCCCTCACCAAGAGCTTCAACAGAGAAGAGTGTTAGAGGGAGAAGTGCCCCGGGCCCCCCACTTGCTCCTTAGCCCCAGCCTCACCCCCTCCCATCCTTTGGCCTCTGGCCCTTTTCCCACAGGGGAGCTGCCCCTATTTTGGTCCTCGAGCTCATCTTTCACCTCATCCTCCTCCTCCTCCTCGGCTTTAATTATGCTAATATTGGAGGAGAATTAATAAATAAAGTGAATCTTTGCACCTGTGGTTTCTCTCTCCTTCCTCATTTAATAATTATTATCTGTTGTTTTACCAACTACTCAAATTCTCTTATAAGGGACTAAATATGTAGTTGTCCTAAGGCGCATCAGCATTTATAAAAATCATCCTTCATTCTATTTTACCCCATCATCCTCTGCAAGACACTCCTCCCTCAAACCCACAAGCCTCCTGTCCTCACAGTCCCCTGGGCTGTGGTAGGAGACACTTGCTTCCTTGTTTTCCCCTCATAGTCCTTTTTAAGGGTGGCAGTTCTTACAGTCACATATCCTTTGATCTAATTCAACCTACCCTAAGAATCTACCAAAGCAAATTTTTCAAAAGAAGAAACCTGCTATAAAGAGAATCATTCATTGCAACATGATATAAAATAACAACACAATAAAAGCAACCTAAATGAACAAACAATAGGGAAATGTTTAAGTTCATCATGGTACTTAGACTTAATGGAATGTCATGCCTTATTTCCATTTTTAAACATGTACTGAGTGACTTCTGTCTGCCAATGGCCTTACTGAGTACTTTCCACAACCTAATTTAATTCACACTATACTGTGAGGTTAAAAACATTCATTAAAATGTTGCAAAGGTTCTATAAAGCTGAGAGATAAATATATTCTATAACTCAGCAATCTCACTTCTAGATGACTGAGTGTCCCCACCCACCAAAAACTATGCAAGAATGTTCAAAGCAGCTTTATTTACAAAGCCAAAAATTGGAAATAGCCCGATTGTCCAACAATAGAATGAGTCATTAAACTGTGGTATGTTTATACATTAGAATACCCAATAAGGAGAATTAACAAACTACAACTATACCTACTCACACAGACAAATCTCATAAAAATAATGTTACATAAGAGAAACTCAGTGCAAAAGATATGTTCTGTACGTTTTGATCCACATAAAGTTCAAAACCAGGTAAAAATAAAATTATAAATTTGGATGGAAATTACTCTCAGCTGGGGGTGGGTGAGGTAGTGCCTGGGAGAAGACAAGAAGGGCTTCTGGGCTCTTGGTAATGTTCTGTTCCTCAGTGTGGGGTTGTGAGGTTATGGTCTGTGCACTGTTCTGTATATACGTTATGCTTCAAAATAATTGCACATAAAGAACATCTTATACACAGTTAACAGATAGAAGAGGTGGAGAGGAATAAGTAATAAGTCAAGACCATACAGCTGGTAAGTGTAGGGGCCTGGGATCAAATAGCTACCTGCCTAATCCTGCCCTCTTGACCCCTGAATGAGCCTGCCTTCCAGGGCTCAAGGTGCTGGACAAAACAGCAGACCTGCTATTTTCCTGGCATCTCTGCCCTGTTTGTCTAGCTAGGAGCACACATACATAGAAATTAAATGAAACAGACCTTCAGCAAGGGGACAGAGGATAGAAGTAACCTTGCCCAGACACTGGAAACCCATGGATGAATGCTCACATGTTTGGGAAGTGGGAAAGGCACATGTAATACCAACCTTGACTCTTTCTTATTCTGTGGGGCACTCTGGCCCCGCCCCTCTCAACTACTCATCCATCCAACACACTTTTCTAAGCACCTCTCTCTGCCTACACTCTGAAGGAGGTTCAGGAAAAACTAACACAGCATCCCTTCCCTCAACTGACTGACAATCCCCTTGTCCTGTTCTGTTTTCCTTTCCTGTCAGTGCTGGGACAGTGGGGAAGGACAGTCATGGAAAAACTCTATAAGGAAGCACCTTGCCCTTCTGCCTCTTGAGAATGTTGATGATTATCAAATCTTTCAAACTTTGGAGGTTTAAGTAGGGGTGAGAAAGACTCAGTAATGTCCCTTCCAATGACGTGAACTTGCTCACTCATCCCTGGGGGCCAAATTGAATAATCAAAGGCAGGCATAATCCAGTTATGAATTCAAACCTTCTTCTCAGAAGGCAACACTCTGAAGCGAGACCCACCCATAACCTAAGCAAGTGAAGACAGGTGCTGCAGGTGGAATTGCGTCCTTCAGAAAGGTATGTTCAACTCCTAGCTCTTGGTGCCCATAAACGCGACTTTATTTGGAAACAGGGTCTTTGCAGAGGTAGTCAAGTCAAAATTAGGTCATACTGAAATGTCTGTGAGGATGTGGTGAAAATGGATCATTCATATATTGCTAGTGGGAATATGAAAGGGTATAGCTACTCTAGAAAATAGTTGTCAGTTTCTTGAAAAACTAAATAAAAGACACCTACCAGGAATTGTGCTTCTTGGGAATTTGCCCCCAGGAAATAAAAACTGATGTCCACACAGAAACCCATACAGAATTGTTCACAGCAGCTTTGTTTGTTCTAGTCAAAGCTAGAAAGAGCCAATCCATCCCTCAATAGGCAACTGATCTAACGCATTGTAATATATCCTTACCATAGAATACTATGAGGCAATAAAAAGGAACGGAGTATTGATACAGAGAACAACTAGACTGATTCTGAAGGACTTTCTATTGAGTGAAAAAAGACAATCTCAAAGGGTCATTTGAGATTTGATTCCTTTTATGTAACATTGTTACATTATAGGATGTTAATTACACCCTATAATGTAATTACACCCTATAATGTAATGTTACATTACACCCTATAATGTAATTACACCCTATAATGCAATGTTACATTACACCCTATAATGTAATTACACCCTATAATGTAATGTTACATTACACCCTATAATGTAATTACACCCTATAATGTAATGTTACATTACACCCTATAATGTAATGTTACATTGTTACATTACAGAGTGACAACTTTATAGGGATAGAGGACAGATTCTGGTTGCCAGGGGTTAGGGTGGAGAAAGAAGAGTAGGCCGGGCGCGGTGGCTCAAGCCTGTAATCCCAGCACTTTGGGAGGCCGAGACGGGCGGATCACCAGGTCAAGAGATCGAGACCATCCTGGCTAACACGGTGAAACCCTGTCTCTACTAAAAAATACAAAAAAAAACCTAGCCAGGCGAGGTGGCGGGCGCCTGTAGTCCCAGCTGCTCGGGAGGCTGAGGCAGGAGAATGGCGTGAACCCAGGAGGCGGAGCTTGCAGTGAGTTGAGATCCGGCCACTGCACTCTAGCCTGGGCGACAGAGAGAGACTCCATCTCAAAAAAATTAAAAAAAAAAGAAAGAAAGAAGAGTAGACGAGACTGTAAAGGGAGATCTTCGTGATCATGGGATAATTCTGTATCTTGATTGCAGTGGTAGTTACAGACATCTAGATATGTGATAAAATGACATAGAGCTGTACACACCTATTTTATCAATGTCAAATTCTTGGTTTTGATATTGTACTGTAATTATGTAAGAAGTAACTATCAGGAGAAAATGGGTTCAGGGACCATCAGACCTCCGTGCTTTATATCCTGTCTGCTACTTTCTGTGAATCTATAACTATTTCCAAATAATTTTTTAAAAACTTTTTTTTTATGCTGGATCCGAGTGGGCCCTAAATCCAATGACTGGTGTCCTTATAAGGACAAGGAGATTGGAGATGCAGGGACACACAGGAAGAATACCACGTGACCAAGAACGCCTCTGGCAGAGACCAGAGGGATGCAGCTGAGAGCCAAAGAGCACCAAGGATTGCTGGGAGTCACCGGAAGCGGGGGAGGTGTGGAATGGTTTCTCCCTGACAGCCTCCAGAAGACACTAACTCTGCCTGTGCCTTGAATTCAGATTTCTGTCTCCGGACCTATGAGAGAACAAACTTCTGCTGTTTTATGGCTCTTAGTTCGTGGTACTTTGTTAGGGCAGAACCAAGAAACTACTACAATGGGGATGGCCGAGAAGAGAGCACACCTCCCGAGGAACTCCCTTCTACACTAAAGAGCCAGACCCCAGCAAGGGTTCACCTCCCCAGGTGGCTGGCCAAATCTACCCACAGAAATCAGGTTCCACAGGTCTGAGAGTTACTCAAATCCAAAAAGTTCAGGTCAGCATGAGTTAAAAGCCAAAGAGACAAGAGGTCTAGCCCGCTTCTCTTGAGATGTGGTATGCTTTTGGCTCTAAAACTGAACTTTGGAATGAGAATGCCCTTACTCTGACAGGTACAGGCTGTGTGGCCCTGAGCAAGTTTCCTTTTTTATTATTATTATTTTTTTTTTTTTTTTTTTTTTTTGAGACGGAGTCTGGCTCTGTCGCCCAGGCTGGAGTGCAGTGGCCGGATCTCAGCTCACTGCAAGCTCCGCCTCCTGGGTTTACGCCATTCTCCTGCCTCAGCCTCCCGAGTAGCTGGGACTACAGGCGCCGCCACCACGCCCGGCTAGTTTTTTTGTATTTTTTTAGTAGAGACGGGGTTTCCACTTTAAGCTATATGGTACATGTGCACAACATGCAAATTTGTTACGTATGTATACATGTGCCATGTTGGTGTGCTGCACCCGTTAACTCGTCATTTACATTAGGTATATCTCCTAATGCCATCCCTCCCCTTTCCCCCAACCCCACGACAAGTCCCCACCTTGTGTCCAAGTGTTCTCATTGTTCAATTCCCACCTATGAGTGAGAACATGTATTTGGTTTTCTATCCTTGCAATAGTTTGCTCAGAATGATGGATTCCAGCTTCATCCATGTCCCTGCAAAGGACATGAGCTCATTCTTTTTTGTGGCTACATAGTATTCCATGGTGTATATGTGTCACATTTTCTTAATCCAGTCTACTATTGATGGACATTTGGGTTGGTTCCAAGTCTTTGCTATTGTGAGTAATGCCACAATAAACATATGTGTGCATGTGTCTTTATAGCAGCATGATTTATAGTCCTTTGGGTATATGCCCAGTGATGGGATGGCTGGGTCAAGGCCCTGAGCAAGTTTCTTAATCTGCCTGGGCCTCCCTTTCTCACCTGTAAGGTGCAGATCATGATGGTAATGCCTGATAGGTAAAGAATTGTGAAGATTAAAAGAGATAACACAAGTAAAAAGCTCAGCATACTGTGGATTGTATGAAAAGCTCGGTGAGTGCCAGCTATTGAGTGAGCACATGTGCTTTCGTTGA